CTGCTCACCTATCCTGCTGGGACATACATGCAGAGGTGTAGGGAGTTTTTACTTTTGCTGTTAGCTCCCAGTCACGTGCTTGCTTAAATGCCTCAAAAATGACGTACTAAAATTAATAAGTAATAATTTGAAAATAACTAGTTACATGTATTATTATATGCTGTAATGCACTAGTAAATAATGATTAAATACCAACAGAAATGATAAAAATCTATGCTTCAGGTAGACCAATTACTAAGTGCTGCTAGAGTCAGAAAAGTGACCCAAGGATAAGTATGGGAACTCACAATGCTGTTTCTTCAATAGCTTCCAGATCAAATTCAGTGCAAAAGTCAAAGGTCTTTTTCTTTCTTCTACCCAATGGAATCACAAAATTCCCCTGAGACTTGGAGGACTCACCTGAATCCTTTCTATCCCAGCACCCGCTGCAGCAGCAATGCTCAGTACACAATGAACTACCAAACATCATCTTCCAACAAAACCCTTTGTTTTGTGCAGGTTTTTGTATTTGTCTGGAGTCCAGACATCCAGCAGGCCTGTTATGCATGAATAATGAAATGATGCAGAAGGTGTGTAGAATAAACGCTCAGAAGAAGCCGTTTCTTGTTGGCTGAGGGTTTAAGTCCTGTCTGTTCTTCTGCAGCAGCACTCTGAGGAACCTCTCCCCGTGCCATTGCTGCTGCAACCTGCTGGCAGTAAAGCCATATTTCCTAGCAGCTGGCTGCTTAAAATTCCGTGCATTTTACTACTCAAACACAGCAATCCCAACTCAGGCTGCTCTGCTCCAGCTCCATCTCCAGCTGGGACACTGTAGGCAGCGGACAGGGAGCGTCCATACCAGCACAGGATGGCAGTGCCGTGGCCCGCGCCGAGACATCCCGCGCTTCTTGAAGGCAACAGGTCTACGGGACAGCCACATCCCTCAGGGCAGCTGATCCCGCACTTCCCAAGCGCCAGATTCCCTCTCTGCACTTCAAACACGGCACGCACCTCACCTTGAAGAAGCCTGCAGGGAAATACTGCAGCCCTGCTAAGGCAGAGGTGGCTGCTAAAAACCGAGCTGATGATGGAGCAGAAGGTAACTTGTTACACTAAGTAGAAGAAAGAAATCTTCAAGACCAAGCAAGAGGAAGGCGGCTTACGCACCAATGTTCTACTTGGCTTTTGATGCAAGAGCCTGCGTTGCACATCACAACTCATTTGTTCATTCTCTAAGTTTTTTCATGCTACTGATTTTCTCAGCCAAACAGCACTTGGCAATCAGATATTGACACCAAGAATTAAGAAAATATTCCCATTCTCTTTTACAGGCCTAATACCATCTTGCTGACATTGTGAGGCTATAACCACCAAAAAAAGCCATTTTGTCTTGCATCCTGTAACATGCTCTTGTGTGTGTGTACACGTAGGAAAGCAGAGAGACTTGATATAACCACAAAGACAAAATATTTTCAACAGCAAGATTAATCTTCTGAAAACATAACTATTACTCACACTCTTCAGAAATACAGCTTCATATTCCTCATCATTTTCATACCCTGCTTCCAAAAATCCTTCTCAAATCCTTCCCTCTAACCATATGGCTGTTTATTTGCTCCCCATAGAAGCAAAGCTTCAATTTTTTATTACCCAATCTCATCTTACTGTGGGCAGCACCCACTGCTTTTAACCTATAGTCATTACAGAGCTTGGTAAAGCTCCTTATGGAACTTACCAATTTCTGCTAACAATTTTCCTGTCAGAAAATTTGATTACCGATGCCTCCACATCCATGAGGTCAACAAAGTAACACATTAAACTTCCCAGCAGGCCTTTTTTACACCAGTTCAATATATTTGAAGGTACAAAAGATAGTCCTGTAGTGGAAAAAGTAATTCCAAACACATCAGTAGAGCTGAAGCTTTTTAAGATGTTACACAACCCATCTGACTTCTTTAATGGGTGAACCGACCAACTTCCATAGAGCAGTTTGAGAATCACCGACAAACTTAAGGTCAACTCAATTTTTTCCCCATAAAATTTAAACCAAATACCACGATGCAGGGTGAGATATTCATAAAACCCTTTAGAGCAAAATAAGGGATGGAATATGATCACAGTCCCTTCACTTCTTATAACTGGAATTACCTTATTCTTTAATGCACCACTTAACTGTTGCCTAAAAAAATTTCTGAGGAAATTTCAAACACCAGTTGAGTCACCTTCTGCTTCTGTCTCCACACACCCAGAGCTGCCCTGCTTCTCTGGAGGCTTTTGCAGTCAGCGGCACCACACACACTGTGGTTCAAGCAGGCCCAGTTCGTGCCATTTCAGAGGGGAAAGGGAAGTAGAGAGGGGCTAGAGGGCCTTCACCAAGCAACACAGCAAACAGCAGCAGGCAGGGAGAAGGGCTGGGACTGTCTTGTCCTGGCCTTAAGCACTGACAGCTCTACAGCCCTGCAGCAAAGCAGCCGACCTGACTTATCTCTGCTATCACTTACTTGAATTGCCATATTGCCTAGCCATCATTTTCCTACCAGGCAGCAGTCTGATGAGCAGAAAGGACCCCTCGTGATCAGTGGGGTGCAGATTCCCGTGCTGCTTCTGATGTTGTGCGCAAACCATAAACAAACAGTGAAAACATGAGGGGTTAAGTCACAAATTTCCATGCATTATCTACACAAATTCTTCCCTTTCCTTATACAACTATAGAACTACTATATGGTTACGTATCTACTGATGGTCCCCTGGTGTTGCTCAGGAGGAGAGCTGGGCAGCATGGAGCACAGCCCCAATGCCACTTTCAAGTCGGAGGCCTTTGAAAGGTCACTTCTACAGACCCGAACTATCACCATGAGAGTGACAAGAGGAAAAAGCTTAGACTAAGTAGAATGCCACAGTTTGAACCCTGCTTCTACCATTCCCCTTCAGCATTTTTTCTTCTTTAAAACTTGCACATCTTTCCTACGAAATCTCTCCATTTCTTGGTACAAGTTCAAATATAGAATTTAAGACGTTTTACCAAAAAGGACTATGTTCTGTTATTGAAGTCATGCACACAATTTTCTCTCTGTACCTTCAGTGACAAAAATGTCAAACAAAGCATGTTTGATCACCAGCACAACTATGTAAGAGGAGGTTGCTGTGTCTACTCTGTATTTCTATCTACCACATCTGTTTCTTTAACTGGTACAGAAATTCTAATCAAAAATTTATGTCTGATGAGGAACAAGTAATTCCTGAAGTAAGGAGTTTTCAACTCCAGTATAGCACAGCATTACTATTATTTCTTTAAACTGTAATGATGCTATTTTGTCTTTAGAAAACATGACAGTTTCCACGTGGAGGACACCAAGGTTTTGGCTGGTTTGTAGAGATCAGCAGATGGACAAATTAAAACATTACCCTGGGGAATATCACCACCTCCCTGGAGCAGGTAGGGAAGCCTTAGGGCTGAACCCTTGGCGGATCCCCTCACTCCAACTGCCTCCTTTCCTTCTGATTCGCAAGGCTAAAGCTACAAGGCACGAGGAGAAAAAGATGGAATAGCAACCATAAAATGATGTTTTCAGACATTTTGAGCCTTCCCCTCTCTTGGAACTAAACATTAGAATTAAACTACCTTTGTAAGCCCTGCTACACAGGAACTTGACCATGATGACAAACAAGCTACCAAAAGAACACCTACCACTTTTTTTTTTTTTTTTTTAAATCTTCCAAAACATTCACTGGTCAAGCTTATACACAAAGGAGAGCAAGTAAGCAGCAGCTTATTTACTGTGTTGCTGGATTTTTCCGAGTCTACAGATTATCTCTATATCAGTATCATGGTAACCTTCTCATGCATACAATTAAAATAATTTCATGGAACTATAGGTGGATTTTGCATTTAAAATCATCCCCGCCACCCTCAAATCAGCTTTTGTAGGGGTTAGTGACAGCTCTAACAAAGAAAGAGAGAAACGCTCAACTTCAACCTCAAACCACATTCACCTACGATGATCTTGTGTTACATAGTGAAAAAGCAATGAAGAACTATCCTGTATATGTAGAAAAATTGTGTATAAAACCTAAAAACATGCATAAATACACACAACGTTATTCTTCCAATTGCACTATCACTTCTTTTATCTCTCAGTTCACTTTAAGCCACTGCATCAAAAACAAAACCATCAGACTTTATACTCCGAGGATTTTCACGTAAAATGTGACATAAAAAAATTTATTGTTCCCCGTCACAGATGCCACATCCTAAGATGAGAGTGACAAAAATACTGCGAGTTAAACACATGGAAGAGTATTTCCATCCACTGATTAAAAAAAAAAGATAGTGTAAAAATAAATGTGCGCATTTCCCTTTTACTCTGAGAATCTCATATAAAGTGAGGTTTACTTTTCATCACTTCTTTACAGCCAGCATAAAGAACTAAATTTGTTTGGTCAGAAACTTCTTTTCCCCAGGTTTCAGCCCAAAGGGAAAATATTGTTGAAGGAAACATAGCAGATGTGGTGAAAAGACCAAGTCTACTTTTGGTTCAATGCTGGGAAGGAAATCGCTGTGAAATTTATTTTAAAGGAAGAATGGAGAAAGAAAGGGGTTTTTTTTGCTTTGTTTTTGTTTTTTAAAGTAGTAGTAATCTCAAAAATTAATATTTAATTTTCAAGAGAACAGTACTTGGCTTTGAAAAACCCTGTTTTGCAGAGGATGGGTAGAGGCCTCACTGAACTTACTTGCATGACCCCTGCCAATCAATGTCAACACTTGATTAATATTTTACTGAGAAAGTGCGAGATGCTTCCAACTCCAGCTGCCTGCTGAAGGTGTTGCTAAGCAACTTTGCTCTTGTCTGAAAATCAGTTTTCACAGCAACCTTGCCTCCAAACCAGAGCTCTGAGTCCACTTCCCCCTCGCTCCTGAGAGTACCAGCAAGTTGTATTTCAGAAATAAATAAAGTGCATCCTTCCCCCCGTCCCCCTTTGCGGTCAGAGTCGGCAGCGCCCGAGACGCCGGCCTCGCTCACCGTAATCGCTGTCGTAGAAGACGATGAACTTCTGCCAGCGCAGCTCGGTGACCAGCTTGAGCATGACGTCGTTGAGGCGCACGGGCGGGCGCGCGGCCAGCGTGTACTCCTCCTCCTCCAGGCTGGGGTTCAGGTGGCAGGCGGTGCGCGGCGAGCCCCCCGTGCTGCGCTGCACAAACAGGTGCGGGATGTGCATGGCATCCGTCAGCGACTGCAGCGCGTTGGCCGAGGCGCAGCCCGTGGACGTCACCAGCGCCAGGATGCCCAACGTCATCAGGTCGCAGGCTGCAGAGGGCGAGACAGAAAGCGGGCGCACGTCAGGACCAATGGCTCTTTCCATCGACCCGGCGCACGAAGGCGTGCACTGCCCTTGGCGAAGGTGAAGGTATTTCTCTTGCAGCACCAGCTTTTGTACCGTCACAACAGGGGCAGGTATCTGCAAACTGCACAAGGACCACGAAGTTGACAAGAGGGTTATGGCTGCCCTCTCCTCAGAGAGCAGCTGCTGCATGTAGCAACTACACTGCCCAACGCGGACATCCCCAAGCCCACCCAGATGCCTTCACCTAGCCCTGGGACACTGAGGAGTGACTATTGTTTCAAGGACCAGTTTTATATCAAGTTCTGAAGTATTAACTTGATTAAGAGACTTTTGTCATAGGCCTCCTGGAGCTGCAGTGCCTTAAGCTCCACATTCTTCCCAGTAAGATGCAAGCTGTTCCCCTTAGGAAGCTCTGGCAAAGCCCATACTCTTTAAAACCAGAGCCTGTACGTTGGAGACCATCCACTTCTGACAGTGCAGCATTACCTGAGCCCTAAAACAGGCTGCATGCAGCTGATCACAGCCACCCTGGAGATGCACGAGGCTCCTTGCCTGCTGAGCAGCCTCTCCACGGCTTCACCCACACAGGGGGCCGTGACGCTTCCCCTTGCTCCCCAAGCAGCAAAACCCTATGCAGTGTGGGCTGGAAAGCACCTTTCTCCTGGGAGCTTCAGCAGTCCCTGAGCTCTCCCGGGAAGGTGGGCGCTGGCTGTGGGGAGCGGGGCCGGAGCAGGGGCCTCTGCAGCCACCACCAGCCCCTTCATCCTCAACCCAGCTCCAGAGGCTGTGGGCAAATCAGACATGCCGTGTTAAAGGCATTTGTCTGCAATGTTTTCCTGCTCTCTGAGCTTTCAGAGGTCAAAGGGCTGGGCAGCTCAACAATAATTAACAGTAATAAACAGTTTGTTAGCAGTTAGTTGTAATTAAATATAGAAAGTCACAGCGATTACATAGAGAACCGTTCTTAATGCAACTGCTGAACCATTCCACAAAACACATCTGAGCACAGACAGAAAACAAATGTATTTCACTTTGATAGAGGATAGCAGAAAACATTTGATCACCCTATGCACACAACACTTGACATGTATCCTAATGCAAAAGCAAAAGGTGAAGTGCTTTTAAAATTATTTCCTTGATGGCCCTTACAATAAACACATCAGCTGCATTATCTAAATTTGCTTTGTGTTAATTATAGATATATGAAATTGTTCTCTGCTTTTCCTGAAAGCTGACCCGATTAAACAGCAGGGAGGCATTACATTTGCCAAATGGGAGACCCAGGTTCGGGAACAGATTTGATTTCCCAGGCTTCTTGCCAGACAAAACTGAGCATGTCCTACAGATAATTTATTTAGCCCCAGTAGGGAAGGGAACAGCAAAGTGGGGACAGAGGGGAGGAGAGCAGGCCTGAGCTCCGAAGCCCCGCAGAGATCAGCAGCCACCAAACTTGCTGTCACGGGGCCCAGGGCCACAAGCACCACTCTGCAGAGGAACAATTTCCTGGCACACAGAGGAGACACTAAACCCATCCTGCGCAGTGGCCGCAGTCAGTGTCAGCTACGCGTGCGATGCAAAACTGATCGTAAGTGGAATTAAACAAAGCAGCAACTTCCACTCAGCAATCAACACTAATCGAAAGCCGCTTGCTTATTCACCAGCGACGCGTGACACAGCGGCCTGCAGGACCCGGGCCCCTTATCTCCCAGCACAGCCTGCAGACCACAGCTAAACATCTCCATAACAAAGATTTCTTGGTTGAAGGGTTTTCACAGTGTTCCGCAGTTTGTGTCAATGGGCCAAAATGAAAAATTAGTCAATCAGCTTCTACATCCTGATATTTTGTCCATTGATTGTGCTCTGCATGAAAGCAAATGCTACACAGTTAAGTGTTACCCGCTCTTGCCTTTACGCTTGGAGATAGTACAGCAGACAAAAAAGAACTGGAATGACTGCAGGCAAAATATGGTTTCATATTTTCTAAATTGCTTTCCTTAGTCAAATTATGGAATTTGAAAAAGACTATGATAGGTACTTTTAATAGAAGAATTTCACTATCCAAAAACATGTGAGACTCCTAGAAGTTCAGCTTCTCCACTGTTATTACACTGAAGGATGAATATGCCTTCAGCACATCAAGAAGAAATGCACTGCTTCCTGCATGGGTAACACAGCAGGAAACAGCTACAGAAGTAAAACTGACTCCAATTCATTAAAGAGACCTCATTAACTCTTAAGACTTCCTGAAATTATTTAGCATGAGAATGTTCAACGATTACACAATCCCAGGAAACTCCGAAGACATTTATAAGAATTTACTCCCACCTGCCTGTGCCTTCTTACATTTGAAATTTTGTGACTTGAGAAAAGCTATGTTATTTTCTGTTGTACCTCACTAGGTAAGGATTAAAGTTTCAGCAGTGACCATACATTCCTGACTACATGATCAAGTAAATCGCCTCAGTTGTATCTACGTAAACATTTAAAAGAATCTGCATACATCAATTTTATAGTGCACTGCACTCCAGTTTTAGGAAAACCAAAGTATGGATTTCAGGTACCCGAGCATCCTGACTTTCAGTCATGTTTAATTATTAGCAATGTATCACAATGCATACAGTCTCATCTAGCTGTTTTCCCTTCTTTTTGTCTTATATATTTTGAAATATGAAGAAACAATGTGGTTAAAGTCCTTTGAGTTTCACAGAGAAAATACACAATGTTCTAGTCAGCTTGCTTCCAGATTCTGCTGCTATATGCCTTACCATAGTTCACTGCACTGAACTGCCTTCATCACTGTGAGGTTGTCTTTCAAGAGGATACCAACATCTCACAAATCATACTGTGAGAAAGGTACATTTTGACATGATGACCAAAACATGATCACCGTATTTAAATGACTCCACAAATTATTGGAGATTAAATCATTTCACTGGTAACTTCTGATTAATCTTTGCTTCTAACAGCAGATTATTTCTCTTATACTTGATTTCACTGAAGTTTCCTAAATTATTATGCCGTAATTATACTATATCGTAATTATATTATCCTAAACTAAACTCCTGCTCCCAACATTCCTATCTCCAGTCAGGTCCCGTTAGGTCAGCACGAAAGCTTGGAAGTACAGCTATCATTTTTCAAACTGCACCTTCCCCCCCCCCCTTTTTTTTTTTTTTTTTTTTTAAGTCTGTGGGCCTACACATGTGAAATAATTATGTTTTGCCACAGCAGTGTTTGAGATCCTGCTCTTCTCCTGTGGCTTCTTCTATTGTCTTCCTATTTCTGAAGACAGGTGCCAACTGTGAACTCTTGATTTGGTACCATCTTCACAGGGAAATTTGCATTAAAAGCTTTAGCTCAGATCTCTGTAATTAAACTCATATCTCTCTAAACCACAGGGAAACAAAGTACTTCAAGAGAAACTGTTATCTTGCTCCTGGCAACATGATGATATGACCATCTTTCAATCTCCCTTTCAGGGCTTTCCTGTTATTCAGGATAGGATAGAAACTTTTCCCTTTGTTTCCACAGTTATCAATAGACCAGCTGCCACTGCAATTTTTGATCTAACAATATATCCACCTACCAGAACTCACACTGCCTCCTCCAGCTCCAGTGCCATTCTGTCTCACTTCTGTGCATCACTGCAGCTGGTCCTACCCACTCTGGACCACATCAGAGCAGATTTGATACAATCCCCTATGATTTTTTTTTTTGTTTTGTTTTTGTTAAACTTGATTTTTTGCTTCCTTTTTGTGATGGACTAATCCTTAGATACTCTTTGCAGCATAGAAAATGGGGGAGAATTCTAGGCAGCAACTTGCGTTTCACGTTTGTGAACGGAAAAGCGCCCTTCTTTCTGCTTAGAAAGGCTTTCAAATGGAAAAAAAGAGAACTCCAGACCTGCCAAAAGAAAGGAAATCCAGTCACACCAACATTTCCAATGTAGGACTCTTTAACAGTGTTGGCACTTCAGCATCCATAAACAGGTTTCAAAGCTAGAGGCCTACTGAGATGAGGTAGGGGCCTTGACACTTGCCTTAGTACTACTGGCCTAACCACTCTGGCTAAAAGCTCATTTTTCCTGTAGCTTATCTTCATAAATCGAAAGAAGAAAAAAAAAAAGTCATTTATCCTTAGGCAAATAACAAATTTAAGAGAAGGCAGCAAATTCTGAGAAAAAGCTATGTTGGAAAACTAAATCCTTACATTTGAAGGGATGAGCAAGGCCTACAGTTCATTCTGCCCGAGCTGCACAGCTAACAGAACCAGCAGCGGCCTAACAAGGAGAGGCAGCCAGCTGGGTCACGTGCTCATGAAGGGCCATGAAAAGAACTTGGAGACAGTAACCACCTTGGTTAAAAAAGAAAAAAAACTAACCAAAAGAACAACAAGCACAAGCAGTTGGTAATATTTACTTTCCATTTTTCCTTTCTTCCCCTTGTTTTCCTTTATCTCATCAAAAATCTAGTGCACATAGCTATAAAATAGAAGCACCCTAATAAGCGCTTCTAATAAGTAACATAAATGATTTTGAGATTAGCTGTATTGCTCAATACAAAGTTTTCTTCTGCTCATCAATATCTAATGTATCAAAGTCTAAATACAGGGTAAAAGCCCAGCTTTTCAACTGTCATCTCAAGCCTCTCCATATCTAATACAGAAGAGGTTAAGCTACATTGCACCATCCTGCCAGACTGGCAGCAGAAATCCCTGCTTCCCTATTAAAGACACCTTTAACATGAAAGCATAAGAAAATTTATTACAAACACTGTGCTAAATACAAATAAATACAAAGGGAACTGACTAGCTATTGTATTATTCATGTGCACAAACATTAATCAGCTAAACATTAATTAACTAATTTGTATACAGATACAGTAAGGTAATTCAGGGAAAATGGTAGAATAGTGAAGAATTAGGAGATAAAAAGCTCAGAAAGCCAATAAGCTGTATCTTTAAT